AAGCCAGTGCGATCTATTTACATCTACAGCCGTGCGTTTCCCTTTGTAAGCATTAGGGGGACGATCAGCGATCGGCCTGTCATTTGATTAATGAAGAGAATTTGTTTTTAAAAAAAAGGGGGGAAGAAGAAAGGAGAGAAATGAAAGGTAGTTTAATATCTCAGCTTGGTCTCATAAGCTCAAAAGAGGGATCTGCACCCCACACCCCACTTTTCCTTTCTCTCTCTTTTCTCTCACCCAGAAGCTTATTAGTTCTAACTATATAGCATGCATAATAAAACTGCTCATTTGCTCATTAATATTAAAATTATCATATTCAGAGCCATGGGCATTAAGATCAATCAAATCCTGGGATTTTCAGGTCAGATGCGAGATCTGCTTATGAGGTTTTTTTCTTTCTTTTTTTTCCGAATCCCTTTTTCTTGAGCAGTACACACCAAGCTAAGGGAGATGATAAATATGAGAGGCAGGGATATTAAAGCCAAGGTTATTATTTGTAGAGTCTGATGCATGTTTTAATTATGGACGTATTGTCATATTAATAGAAGAGTGCTTCTTTCTCTAGCTATTTCTTATTTAGTAATTAATGAAAACGCCTTATTGTTTTCTTTTAATTTAACAGCAGCTTTGATAATAATATCGAAAAGGTGGTCGTGTCATTTTACCAGAGTATTTAGACATATAGAAGTCAGTTCAGCTTAATGCCCTGACTTCTGCAGGAACACGCTGTCTCTAACACACAAAAACACAGGGGCCTCCTGACGACTTTTTTTTTCTCCCCCTTCCAATACTGTCATCTTTTAAGCGATGTGTCCATTAAGAGCAATGCTTTTCTGGAGCAGGAAGGGTTACTGACATCACATTATCAAGGCCGGCATTACCACTTCTGTCACCACCATAAGCCATTCGCTATGCTGATTACCTCCTTTTAGCCTACTTACTCTGATTGATATGTACTGTGTGCAGGACTTGTAAGAGCATTCGCTCTCACTCAATTTTTTACTAATTAAATCAATGGTGCGTGAATGTTAAGAATTTCTTCAAAATGCAGGAAAAAAAAAAAAATCAATTTTGAAGCCTTCATCGTCTTCATTTTTTTTCTTGATGGATAATGAATGAACATGACTCGCTTTTTTTTTTTTTTACCTCATCCCTCTGACCTGTGCGTCATTTCTCTCTGCCTCCAGAATGCTGTCCGCCACAACCTCAGTCTGCACAAGTGCTTTGTGCGCGTGGAGAATGTGAAGGGGGCAGTGTGGACAGTAGATGAGGTGGAGTACCAGAAACGCAGGTCGCAGAAGATCACGGGGTAGGTGCTCTGCTGACTCACAGATCCAGATCAGTAAAAGATTAAAAGGATCAGTGGAAACGTTGTTAAATACACTCTGCACTCTCTTATTAGCATTACATTACACATTATGTTATGATATGATTGACTCATTTGTTGTTGTTTGTTTTGCTTACTTTTTTGTATGCAGAAGCCCATCACTTGTCAAGAATCTGCCCTCCAGTCTCGGCTATGGAACTGCACTAAATGCCAGCTTACAGGTATGGACCAAAACCTCGAGCTGGCTGCCGTTGTTACGTGATTGACAGACAGGACCACTGCCTGAGTGACTGAATGATTGCAGTTAATGTGCACAATAGAACTCCATATTCATACTTCCACTTTGCATAAGAGGGAGCAAGTTTTTTTTTTTTCTTTTTCTAACTTGAATTACCAGCTTGTTCCTTGCTTGTGAATTTCTGCACCTCTCCACTCACTCTTCTCTCTTCCGGTCTGCCATCAGACAGAGAAGGCCACCCTGTGGTTGAATCAAGGAGCAACTCTCGCTCCTTGATTCCCTTCTTTTCCCCGTCTTTCAGCAGTGGCAGCCACCCTAGATTGATAGCGGCATGTGCAAATGCAAGGGCATGTGCATTAATATTTATCTAACCTGTCATAAATGATTTGCCTTCATAGTGTACGCTGGCGAGGTGCTCATGGCAAAAACTTTAAAAATTTAATCACCGTATATAACTTTAATGCTCAGCAGGCGAAAGTGTCAAGAGTTTTTATTATTTGGAGGTAAAGTTTTGGGGGGACTTTGTCTTTTTTTTTTAATAGCCACACCACACAAGGGCACAGGAATGGCAGGTGAGGGGAAGTAGTTGTCAGGAAAGTGTCACATGGGGAAAAATAGTTTCCAGCTGAACAACACCGAGCCACGCTCTTTAAATAATTACTGTGTTAAATCATAATATTCACTCTTCATACTGCCTCTAAACCACCAAAACAACTGTGTGACAGTAAATGATTACTCCCTCTTATGCACCCAGTTATTCAGTGTTCCTGGACCTTTCTCTGTCTATTCAAGTTCTAATTCCTAATATTCCCTACTTGTCTCTTCCTCCCACAGGCTGCCCTAGCAGAGACCTCCTTGCCTTTGCTGGGAACCCCGGGGCTCATGGGCAGTGGTGCCACAGGCCCGATGGGAGGCACCTGCCACGGCCTCCTCGGCGGAGACCCGTCCGGACTGACCGCAGGAAGTCCGCCTGGCCAGTTGGGAGGGAGCCCACCGGGGTTGCTGGGTGTTAGTCCCCCAGTTACGCTGAGCGGCAGCCCCCCCATGCTGCTGCAGTCAGCCCACGAGGACCTCAACGGTTCAATCGACCACCTGGACACCAACGGACACAGCAGCCCCAGATACTCCCCTCCAGTACACATGTAAGCTCCTGAACATAGAAGAAAATATACCTGCAAGTAATTTAACTCTTGGGGCTACTTAGACCCCTAAGAACTCAAATGTGTGCACATCATCTGCACTTTTCTCAGATTAAACACTGATCTTAAGACATTGTCAAAGATTCTTTTTAGAAAACCTAAAAGCTTTTTGAAACACAAACTACAATTCACCCCCAGTCGATCTCATTAAAAGCTGCCGGTGCTTATACTGCCCTTTACTCAGCCCATAACAGCTGCTGTGTGGATTTAAATGACAACCATTACAGCATACCTATGATGTTGCAGCATGCACACGATGGATCAAGAGTTCCTATTTCATGCTTCATAATGTTAAATGTGGTGGGTATGCACTAATTTACACCTCACACATTTTTAAGAGTGCTTATCTAAGTATGCAAGCACACATTGACCCCTCCCCTTTCTACACCTACGTTGAATTCCTTTGTTAGTTTAATTGCCTGACATTTAACCCTCTGTATCAGTATTTATTTCAGTTTTCTCTGACCCAAGGGCAGGGTTCAATTTCCAGTACGTACGATATCATAAGCAGACTTTTTCTCCTCCTTTATCTTCTGCTGTAATTTGATTGTCTTTGTGCTTATACCTGAGGTGAGGCGGACGCTTGGCCAACAGTTAGTCTATAAATAGGCTCTATTACACATTTGTCTTTAATTACACCAGCGTCTGCATTATAGGGGTTTAGCTGCTGTATTTTATGCAAGACTGTGCCTATTAATATTTAGCAAGTGTAGCATTAATTACTTTAAAAATCTCTCCCTTCCTCATCCCTCATTTAACGTGGCTAAGAGAAAGCGAGTGTGAGAGAGAGTGAGAGTGATTTTAAAAATTGATTTCATGTGACTTTTAGGAATGTCTGGGCTGCTGATGTCACAAAGAACTATCTGCGTAAGCACTCGCTGTGGAAAAATGAAGCACGCACGGAAACAAACACAAAGAAATGATTCTCGTCCACTCTCCTTCAAAGGCCATGTTGGAAACTTATCAGCTAGTCACTTCTTTAATGGATAAAAGATGCACTTCTGCTTCATGTGACTAAGTGTATCAGAGAGAACAGAGGAGTGTTTGGTTAGTCCTTAGTACCAGACATCTATACATTAATCTGTTTGGACATGTTTACCCCTCTCTGAAAGGGGGTAATAAGTGGAGCAAATCTGCCCAGCTGCAGACAGAATCCAGTGTTACCGCTCCCTCGGCTCATTTAATTTTTAGTAACAGGACAGCACTTCCTTTTTCTTGCATTCTCTTTTCTCTGGCCGAACTAGCCTTGACACTTGCAAGGGTAGCTAGATTAGAAGATTAGACGCATCCATCCATCCTTCTCTTCCTCCCTCCTTCTATCCCTCCCTCGGTCCCCGCCCGCCTTTACAAAGCCACAACAACCTCAAAATGGAAGAAATGTGTTTTTCATGAATGGCTTTTCAAAGATGTGTTTAAATAATAGAGTGGCTTGTAGCACTAAACTAAATAGTACATCACCTTGAAGGCCTTTCTCTGGAGAGGAGTCCTCAGCACAAGCAAGTCCATTCAAACCTCTTCTTCTCCTAAATGTCTGAAGGTTAATGATATCTACTTAACCGCAAAGCAGGCTGCCCCGGGCCGTCCCGGGTTTGTGTGCATACTGGTGTGAGCGTGTGCACGTCATGTAGTTTTGGCTCTGAATACTTATGCAGAAGTGCCACGCTGTCTAAAAACCTTATTGTATTGATGATTTCATTTCGTAAAACATGTTTTAGGTTGGAGCCACGTAATCCGTGTCCACGTTGAGTGAGTTCGATATTTAATTGCACCAATCTTGATAACAGGATTAAAGACTGTAAACACATCTTTTTTCAATTTAAATGTCTAAATGAATGACTGGTTACGTTTTAGGTGAAACCAAGTCTATTGTTTATATTTCCACTGAAACCTTTGGCTTTGTTCAGTGTAGCCACAGGCTAAAAAGTAGTTGTGTCCTTAACACCAGTCCAAACATCTGCAAACCTCCTCGCAACAAACCCTGAGTGATGTAGTTATTGTTCACTCAACTGACTCTGAGATGAGAGCCAATAAACGTGTCATCGCACTGAGGCCCAACTGTCTTTGGTGTCTGAAATTTTGCAAACTTTTATTGCCCCCTCCTTCACTACCAACCCTCCCTCCCTTCCCCAGGCGGCCTGCACTCCTCTCATACTCTATCTTCCTCACCGCACTACTTCTCCTGCCCCCCCATCGCAGCCTACCATTAGATCCATGCACTAATGATCGCATTTGTCCCGACATACCTCTGCGTGATTGCAGGTGCTAATCTCCAATTGATGTGAGAGCCAGGCATCTCTAGAACCCACACACACATGCACACACTCGAAGCGCTGCGTATTTATTACATCGCAAAAGTCCTGCTGAGTGACTCAATAATGGCAGCTAGCTATTAAGTACTAAATGGCTCATCCACATATTTTAATAAAGTGTCACAAAGCCTGTGAACGTTATCGTCGGAGCCACACAAACATCTAATGAGGTGCATGAGAACACATTCCAGTCTGCCAGGTGATCCACGTGATGCATTCAAGTACAGACTCATTGTCGTTTTTCGGGAAACGGTGTTTAAAAAATGCTGAAAATCTTCTTTATGAAACACTTTTTATTGTGCTCGACAAAACTAGGGATGCATCGCTTCACTCGCTGTGGGCACCAGCTGAACCGTGCTTTGTATCTGGTGCTAGTACACAAATATAAAGTACTGATCAGCAGCAGTGGACATATTAAATGTTTACAGCATGGCGTTTATGAACAGCTATAACTAATGAGTGAAAGGTGGGGTACAGCCTCACATAGTGACCTAAACATCCCTTTATACAGCCACATTTTAGTGTCTCAGAAAGCAGGAAGTGTTTTTGTCCAAGCACTCGTGTAGAACATAAAATATTTCAGCAACAAATTTGTAACTTTCTGGCAATCAGCCCATCATTTTATCACCTTTCAACACCAGTTTTACTCTCCATCAGCAACATAAATAAATATCTTAATTTTAAACAAAATCTGTCTTTCCATGCTGTTAGCTGTTACATCGGCAGGTAAGAGGACGTGGAGCTGTTGTTGTCTTATCTCCCACCTTCTGTAAACCCGAGGCACAGAAACAGGTTCATCCGCTCCTGTTCGCATCCTGCTAAGATCAGCCTCCCTTTCTCATCCCACCACATCAGAATATTAATTTACAGTATTTGGCTCTGAATATTAAAGTCATCTGTACCTTTTAAAATTCTTTTCAAATTCAAAGTCCCCCCTGCCCTCCCCGCTTCCACTGATGAAGGCAACCCAGGAGAGAGGCTTCCTAACATACTACCACTTGATAAGTCTCCCTCTCTCTCTCTCTCCCCGCTCTCCTCTTTCAGAGTCTAGGGGGACTTTCTGATGCATCCGATGTGTCAAAAATAATTAGCTTTTGTCAGATTTATCATCATGGCACAAACCCCTCTCCCTGACTAGAGCCCCAGATCGTGTTATGCCTTGTTTGTGTGTGACAGCATTATTATTCTTGTTAGTGGCCCGACACTTCTTTTTTTTCCCCCCGCCCACTCCTCTGTTGTTCTGAAACATAAGGCGTCCTGTGAGCAGCGCCATTGCTGCTTCCTGCCGAGTGCTTATTGACACTGGCTAAAGATATTCATCCATTTAGAGTTAAAAACATGTATCATGGTGTCCGAGCGAACTGCCGGGGCTGAAGTTGATTAATGGCAGAACCTAGCTGCCGGTTTTTCCTCTTGAGGAGCGACACGCACAGCCCCTGCATATTAACGAGTGGCTGCGCTTTCTATTAACTAGATAAAAAAGCCTCTCCTCTGCCTTTGCTCCAGGGGGCTCAGGGATGAGAAATTCTCCATTATTTATTATGTGGCCTGTTTTTTTCCCCCCCTTTTTTTCCCTTTTTCATGTATTTCAACCTGGTGTCATCAGTAAACTTTTAAATGCCAAACATGTCTGGAACATCACAGCTTATCGGCCTTACAGAGGCCATGTTTTTCATGCAATTTTCATGCGCTTACTTACAGTAGACGTGAGGCATCGTGTCGAATTAGTGTCTCGCAAACAACATGTTACTTTCTAGATAATGCATGTAACGCCTGTTTTTTTGATGCCACTGAATATTTGTCTGTTTGTCTGCTGAACACAGTCCATGCAGTAACGGGAATTACTCCTCCACACCTCTTTTGCACATTGCGTTATGGTGGTAATAAGTCTCCTGACTATGTTCCCTTCATAATTTACTTGTAAATGAGGTTTCCCTTACTTTAAATGTTATACTGTACAGTTTACCATAAAATCATGTGTATTTTTCCTCTGGCCTGTATTGCTATTTATCCATTGTTTTGGTATCAGTTGGCCAGTTGTGGAGATTCTGATGCAGAGGTGTCTGCATTCGTTGAAAAGTAGAGAAACTAAATGGCCCACAAGCCTCTATCTGCTTTTTCCCTAAAACATGTGATTGGTTTCATTACATTCAACAGATGCAAACGCAACCACGCTGATGGATAAATAGCACTGCATGCCTGAGAAAACTTGTCATTTTCTGATGAACTGTCCCTTTAAATGTGATCGTGCTGCAGGGATTTGTCATTGAATTAAAGCATAAATCTAACATTTATCATTTATCGCCTATGTGCTTGTGTCATAGGCCACCCATTCACATAAAGGAGGAGCCACTTAATATGGACGACGACGACTGTCCGATGTCACTTGTGACGACAGCCAATCACAGTCCAGAGCTGGATGAGGACCGGGAGCTGGAGGAAGGGAACTTATCGGAAGACCTGGAGTGACTAGGATACAGTTTTTGGTCAACATATCCCTTCACCGAACCGCACTGTTTCTCTCACACAGACCTCCCGCAAGACTAGAAACCACTCCACAGTCCAAGCAACCACAGCTGACTCTCTTTGTCTCTCTCACCACTGGGACTATTTATTGAGCATGTATCCGGATAGAGACTGGGCCAAAGGAACTCTTTGTTGCAGCCCTTTGGGATCCCCCAAACACAAGCAGGCATGAGATGTCTGATTGGGAAAAAAAATTGAACTCTTTGAGACCTGTTTCATTAGGGATGGCGTGGCCACATACCGTGTAAGGATGATAGACTCATGGATGGGGAACACCATGTTCCGTTGAAAGCTAGCGGCCTCATATACTGCCAAAAAGGAAGACATTTTATGTTTGTGAATAATCCAACCCACAGTAGTTGTTAATGTCTAGAGACAATTGCTGGTTCAATTCAAGTTGTTGCTCTGTTATCATTTGCACAGGAGTAGTCTCAGAAATTTGTGTCACTGCCTGTATGTTGCTACTATTATGAAACCCAGTATATTATTTTCAGCTTTCTTTTAAAACCATTGTTAATTTCCCAAATACGATTTCTTTTTAGATACCACCAACTGTAAATGCCATTCCCCAAATCACACCAGTAACGGAACTGCGGTACCAAGACTGTTGTTGCAGCTGTCCATTAAAAAAAAAACACCAAAAACACAAAAAAAAAACAAAGGAGAAAAAAAAAAAGAAAAAAGTTGGCTTCCAGTCTGTTATCTGTTTGTGAATAAACAAAAAAAATTAAATTAAGTTGGGGAAGAAATAAGTTTGTTAAAAAGCGCCATTTCCAAAACAAATGCATTTCTGCATAATTTTCTTCTCGCTGTTCTCCTTTTACCTCCTCGTTCGAAAGCTTTGTCTACCTTCAAACAGTCACAGGCAACAGCTAGAAACCAAAGCCAACACTAGCAATGGCCAATAGCTTATAGACAGAAGCCACCAAACTCCTCTTGGTCCGCCTTCTGCCACTTTAAACTAGTACAAAGAGAAGCTTTTGTTCCGCAAACTACCTTGGAATAACCTCTGGGATTGTTTCATTTAGCCCTATACAAAGATGATCATGAGGAAGATGGAGGGAAAATAAAGGCTGGTTTTGATGTGAAATTTGCTAACTCATACGAAAAAAAAAAAAAAGACAAAACAAACAAAAAAAAAGTCCACTTTGGAGATTTTCTGCCAGACATACCATAGGTAGGAGGTGATGTGATGTTTGAACTGCAGGCATTTTGTGCTGTAACTGGTAGAGAGCAGCTAACTGTAAAAGTGGATCATGACCAAAACATTTGTGTATTCAATGGAAGTGCAGAAACATTGTGTTGTTGTGAATTTTTATTTTATTCTATTTTTTTTTTTTTTACTTTTTCTTATGCATTACACATAGTTGTTTTTTTCTTTATTTATTTTTATTTTTTCTAACCTGGTGAATATGTATTGTTCTAAGTGGGACTGTCAAAATAATGTCTTTATTCCGTGGCTTTTTTTTCCTTTCTTCCGAGCCGCGTCAAAACCGAAACTGAAAACATCGCTAACCAAACATGAAGAATATCTAGTGAAGCCAAATAAGTCACATTTTCAAGTGAATATGAAATGATGTGGCTTGGTTACCGTGGAAAAGCAAATAGTAATAGCCATTGCGGAAGAGGATTGTCTACCTTTTTCTAGGTGAGATTTGCTTTAACTTCATCGAATCCTCGTCGCGTGGGTCTGTGCAGCTTCCAAACGCGTACGAAAGGCATCGCCGCTGATGGCGCTCTGGGTAGACAGCCAGCTTTTTATACCACGCTTTAGGGTGACTTAAAGAGAGGTAGTTACTGTGGAAACTACGTCCCATCATTTCACAGCCAGTGTCATCTAGAAAAGCGTTGTTGCTTTAATGGTCATTTATGTTTTCAGTAAACCAAAGTTACACAAAATTCTGCCTCCTCTTGTATGGGATAAAGAAAACCTGAAACTACACACAGTATAACTACACAAACACACACACACGTGTCAGAGACTAGCATACACAGACCTTAGGCTTGTGGTCTGCCAGCTTTCTTGTTTTGGTTAAATCTCCAGCTGCTGAAAACGTATGCTGTCAAAGACCTGACGCGGCTTTGTGTCTTGCTGCGGCAGCGAGCGACGTGTCTGCTCTGTTTAGACCAAAATGGAAACACACTGTGCATATGTATGTTTTCAAGTGTTGTGCCAAGCCAAAGAACAGGGCTTGTAAGAGCTTAACACACAAGACACGTGCGGTACTGTACAAACGCTCAGCTTGTAAAGTACACACACATACACACGCGTACCAGTTCCACGTCATGAGGGTACTGGGCCCTGGAACAAAGCTTATCCCTTCAATACTTAGCTGGAGTCAGCAAAACGACTTGAAGACGACATTCTTAATAATCTTATCACACCAAATAAAAAGGACGCTGCGTCTTTCCAAAAACAAAAAAGAAAAAAAAGGGGTCTCCCACTTACCCAAAAAGGCTTTCTAAAAGCTCCTACCTCTGCACAACAACCAATTCAGAACAATTACGACGGATTGCACGAGTTACGAGAATGCCACAAGAGCCGTTACACTTTACTGCGCTTGTCTCATAGGACGTGGCTCAAGCCCAACGTTTACATTCCCTGCGTCAAGATATGGAAGATTTGCATTGTAATAGGTTGTCCTCAAAACATTTGTAGAATGATAATGTATAGATTATCTGTAAGGGAATATTGTGTTTTTTTAAAAATGCATGTCTAAAAAAAATCATTTGGTGGACTGGAAACGAGAACTAATAAAAAGAATATAATAAAAACCATGGGGATGATGGCCTAACTGTACGTACAATGCATAGGAGTGCGTTACCTCAGATATACTGTTTTGGGAGGGATAAAAACCTGTCAGCCACAGAATGCATATTACCTGTAGATTTGCATGGGTTTTGTATAAATTAAGTAAAAAAAAAAATGTCTAAAATAGTTGCTTGCACATAATACCAGAAAGACCTCCAGAACTGCGATCTGCTCCTCCACTAGATTTTAGGATTGTCTGGATTTTCTGGGTTGATTTTTGTCTGTATTTTGATAACTGTGCATACTTATGTAAAAAAAAAAAAAAAATGTTGGTGGACCCATAAATTTACCAGACTTTTTTCTAAGAGGAAAAAAAAAATCTCAGTGTTTCTTTTCTGACTTACCTGAATTTTTACTGTTTCTCTCTCATTGCTCGCTAAGAATAGCAAACTTGCTTTTTCTGCATCTGCTTTGCGTAGCTGTAAGGCTTAACCTAATGTGTGTATTTATTGCTTGTACCTCTGTGCATACTTTATGAAGCATTATGTCTGGCAGTTGAGTCATGTATCCTTTCTACTGCTATCCTTCTCTAATAATTGAGAATATGATCCCCCTATGTATACAGTAAATTGGGACTGTAGCAAACATATGTTTATGTAATTGGTGAGAACTTTTTTTTTTTTGGTTTGTTTTTGTTTTCATTTCCTTTTTGATCGATCGATCCAGCGACTTTTTTTGATACTTTTCATTAATGTGTACTGTGTCCATACGTTAAAAGTTCTCTGACATTAGAAGGTCATGGTTGAGAATTGTAACAGACATTATTTTCTGTATTCATGGCATTTCACTGCTGAATAAAATAAAGGACCAAAACTTGGAATTTGAAAAGCAACTGTCTACCTCCAGCATCAGAGAGTAAATTATTTTCCCTCCACTGTTGTATCTTTTATTCTACAAAGGCACAGCCATGAAAATCTAGCTGGCATTACACTTTTAAGGTTTCAGGAGCTGCTACTTCAGAGATGTGAAGGAAGGGGGTGGAAAAACAATTAAAATTTAATGTATGTGTTACAAGCCTTTTTTCCAGCCTCCAGTACCCAGAGTCTTGTTTAGAGGAGCGGGACAAGGCACTGTATTGCCCACCCCTCTGGACCTGTAATGGGTTTAGCCTTTGTATGATTCAAGCCCACTGCTTTCATGTACCGTACGCGTGTCCCAGTCTACACCCAAGCACTGCTGTGTACCTTTGAAAAGCTTTTGTAAGAAGTAACTCACCCAACTAGACTTCATTTCTGGGCTACATACTGCAAAAGTGGTTTTGGCACAAACCGCATTATTAAGTCTGTTGCCATGTAAAAAATATCTGCCTTATTAGCATCACGGCTCTGTGTCATGTACAGAAAACAAAGATGTGAAATTTCACCAGACATCTTCCATCTTCCATAATCTCAAAGACAGCAGCTTCCTCTTGACACTTGAAAAGACAAAAAAAAAAGCTTTTTACCCTCTGGACTGATGGATGTTGACTGGCCTAACGCAATGACAGGCAATGTGGCTAAATCAACTCCAGCAGGCCTACCACACCTTGTCGGTCATGGAGCAGCCACACATTGACACCCTCATTGAGATTCAAACTGAATCTACCATGACCAATAGGTTGCCCATTAGCTCGTCTGTATGCCGAGAGCCTTCTACACGTTCCAAAGGGTGCTCAGGGACATCGTGGGACTCTTTGAATCATATCCGCTGGTCATTTAATCGTAACGCTGATGCGTGTTCTTTTTCCTTACCACATGATGTCCCATGAGAGGTCAGAAAACAACAGCATTTTTCATAAAAAGGCACACAGACGCACTTGTCTTTCTTCACACACCCCCACACCCCCCACCCCCCATGACAGTCCCAGACATCAGCCTTGGCAGGCTGCTGTTATCTCCTCAGCAATGGCGTTCCAGAGCATTAGCTAGCTCGCAAGGCACTTGTCTTCCATGCTGTTTATGCACTTGGAAGTGTTTGTGAATTCAAGTGAGGGATTGCATACGGAGTGCAACAAGGGCCGCTGTGTACTACACAACATCAGAGGGAGCTCCGACATTAAAGTGTGAGAGCGCCTGCTATAGACCCTTCTTTCAAAGGCCATGAAATAATAATGGCTTGTGGTTAGAGAGGTATCCGTGAGTCACAGTGGCTGCTTTTCATAAAGTGGAGTTATTTACAGAGCGATGAATAAAAGAAAGGGTAGCTGGTGGTGCAAGCTTTTTCCACATGAATGGTGGTGGTGGTGGTGGGAGGGGAGTTCCTCCTTATTCAGTACGCTGCAAGTATACTGCATGATGTGATGGGAGTGGGAGAAGGCTCTGAAAATAGCAGCTAATTTCTAAAGAAAGATCTACAAAATACAAAATAATGTTTGGAAGCTTTAAGACATTTAGAGACATGGGCTTCTTTACTTTTGTGTTGACAATTGGAAAAGTTTATAAAATTTCTATACAGTAAATAATAATAATGGATTGCATTTACATAGCGCTTTTTGGGGCCCTCAAAGTGCTTTACAATTCCACTATTCATTCACTCTCACATTCGCACACTGGTGGAGGCAAGCTACAGTTGTAGCCACAGCTGCCCTGGGGCAGACTGACAGAGGCTGCCATATTGTGCCATCAGCCCCTCTGGCCATCACCAGTAGGCAGCAGGTGAGGTGTCTTGCCCAAGGACACAATGACTGAGGCTGTCCGAGCCGGGGCTCGAACCGGCAACCTTCTGGTTACAAGACAAACTGCCAAATCTTTGAGCCACGATCGCCCCGATCTATAGCAAGAAGGCTTAGATAAGCTTAGCTTAGCATTAGGACTAAAGGTGGGAAAATAGCTAGGTTCACAAAGCTGCAAATTATCTCAAACCAATTGGTCCAAAAACCAAACCTTTGATGACCATTTTCAAGCAAATTAAGTATTGTAGTTATTAATCCTCACTATACCTAATTGTGTCTTCGTGTTCCCCTAGGTAGGCTATGTGATGATGTATATGCGAATGTGCGCCAGGTCATGGCCAGGGAAACTAATCCTGGCTACTAGCCAGAAAGCTGAACAAAGGTGAATGGAGAATGACGGATAGGAGAAGATATACTTTCAACAGCTAAGAATTGTTTTTATTTTGAGTTTGCCTCCTTCAAAATTGAGAAAGATCACCATTCATTGTAAACTTTGTGCCAGTAGCAACAAATACACATTTAAGTTATCGAGGTGTGTGATACAGCTGTTGATAATTAATAAATAATTGTTACTGGCCTCTCCTGCCAGTGATGCAACAGGTCAGGCTAAAGAAGCTTGATTTGGTCGAGTCAAGATTCCCTGAGGAACTGGCTAATCAGATTGCATATCCCTTATTCAAAAGGGAGAATTGCAAAATTTATATAAATATAATTAGTCATTTTCCATTTTTTATACCATTTTTTTTATAAAGGAAGTAATACATTTAATATGTAGCAATAAATACTGCCCTCCCATAGTGATTTGATGGTCGAGCACATTACTTATTCTATATTTATTGTATTTAATGTATTTACTGGACTTCTCAATCAGAATTCATTAGCCTATGAGCATATGTCCGATGATCCTCACTTCTGAAATGCGTAGTATAAACAAGTATGATAGAAACAAAAGAAATGTTTTAATTAAATATGACTTGAAATGAGCGACTGACCCCATAAACTCAACATGAAAGTGTTAACAGAAGTCGATAAGACTGAAAGTCAAGTCTGTGAAACCTTGGTTTGGTCGCTAGCATACTGCTGTGGTCGTAGGTTAACTAGAACTAACAGCCTTGTCTACAAACACTGCCACTCGCTACTGCTACTATCTGAGCTTTAGTGAAACTGTGAAAACTGTGACACAAACCAGAAAAGGAGAAGGTTAACCTTCAGAGCAAAAGTTGTGCCCTGTGAAACACATTGGTTGCAGCGATGAGACAAATTTTTACTCAGCACTTGAATTTTCTCCAGTTCTTGTTTGCATCTGGCTAAAGTTATACTTTATGAAGTAGCAGTTTGTGAGTATTTACAGACAAACCTGGGGAACTACAGGCAACTGTTGCTAGCAACCAAAGTAATCATCAAGAGGTTTTTGGCGCAGCACCTTCGTTTGCTAGAAACCACCAGGAACCTCAGGGAATACATGCCTCCCTGGTGTGGTTTATTCTGGTTGGCAGTGGATGTATCATCTCCAATATGGTAGACAACTCTTAAGGAATGTGCCCATGACGTCATGTGAGAAACCACAGGTGAGCTATATTAGCTTCTGATAGTTGTTTTAGCTGCATCTTTCCCTAACAGAGGCTAAATATATGCACAGAGCTACAGCCAGAAGACTTAGCTTAGCAAAAAGACTAAGTGGGAAAGCAGCTAACTTCAAAAGTAATTTATGAGCACTTTAATGAGTTGTTACTATATTATATCTTGTTTTTGTAAACTTTGGAAAGAACCAGACTAGCTGTTTTCATCTGTTTCCCATCATTACACTAGGCCAAACTAGCTAGCTACTAGCTACTAGCCTGTACTTGAGCGAATGCTATAAGAGAGTGCTATCAGTGTCCATGTCTAACTTTCAGGAGTTCAGTACAATAGCTAGTAAGTTCGCTTGTATCTTGGCCTTTTAAATCAGACAGTGCATCCTGGCATCATTCATTTCTCTAACAACGACCAATTAGGTCAATTTATGAACCGTGCACTTGTGGGATTGGGTGGTAAATATCTCTAGTCTCAGCTTATTGATTAAGAGTGCAGTCTCCGTCTCGGTCTTTCTCTTTCCACCCCTTCTGACCTGACGATGCGTGTCGGCTCCCTAGAAGACCCTTACCCCGAGGCTGCAAAATTGCCTGCTAAATAGTCCGAGGCAATGGCAACGCTAATTGAGATCATCATTATTATAATTGCGAGCCCTGAAAAGCGCGTCTTAAATAATTTGCATTGCTCTCAAGTTGATATTGGATGCAGTGCAAAAATAATTGCATGGCTCGGAGGCATGACGCTCGGTTCGGTGGTGGGCGAGGGGACACTTCCCCACCCCGCCCAGCTCTAGTAGCCACCCAGCCGGTGCTGAGATCGGATGCCATCACATATCTGTGTCACGAGCAGTAGGTTGGGGGAGGCAGATTTTGTAATGTTTTTGTCCACTTTTATATAAGAATCTCTTAAAGCTTCGCAGTCAGCGATTTTTCTGTTAAATCAGAAAAAAAAACATAGGATAAAACAACATTCCCATGAGATGAGAATCCTTCAATGTGTAGTCCGCTAAGTGTTTTCCACCAGTCACTACCTTTTAAAGTGAACCTGACTCCAAGCTCACCTGCTCCTTTTACCACATCTGACTTTCCACTCTGTGGACGAAGCTGCTGAGATAGGCAAAAAAAACCCTAAAAAACTATGACCTCGATACATAAAACTTCACTCATCGCTTCATCAGAGGAACCTGACGTAAACGCACTTTTTTGCTTTGTGTGAATGTGATGTGCAGGCACCGGTGTAATGTATGCAAGAGAAATGCCTATTTCTCCAACTGAAACAAGGGATTAACCCAACAAAATGGTGAGAAACTGCTGATATTCATGAATTCTTGCCTTTGGCATTATCTGCCACATACACACACACACACGTATCCTATCAGGTCTTTCTCCCCCTCGTCTCTCAAACACACACACTCACACGCACAAAGAGACTTCTCGATAGTCCGTCCTAATGAATAAGATATGATGACATGATATAGCTCATTATTTGTTTGCTTTATGCTTTAACAAACAACAAACACAACCCTTCGAGGCTGCTGGCAAATCTTTTTTCCTTTTTGCCTGTGAAAATGAGCACATCAAAG